TGCCCTGGCGCAGGATTAGGCTGCTGCATTGCAAGTCTGGTGAAGACCAGTGCTCAGTCATTGAAATCCAGGGAAACTGCAGGTCCTGCTTGCTTGGCTGGTGCCTTTCCCAGAGCAATAGGTGCTGCTGTCTCAATTTGCTCAGCACGGTCACGTCTTGCACCCCAGCAAGCCGTCTTTCTGGCACTCTTGGAAACCATTAGTTACTATTAGCATATAAAGTAGTTCCCCTTTGCTCGGAAAAGGGCGATAAGGGGGACATAATATCATCCTCCTGCAGCTCTTAATCAGCTGCTGGCATAGCCTGGAGGGAACAGGAAAATTAGTGTGTGGGGGACCCAACCATGCCTGTTTTGAGGTGTGACCAAGGGCTTTCCCGCAGAGCTGGCAGTGCAGCCACAGCAGCCCCGCCGGGGCCGGCCAGGAGACAGACCCTGAGACAGATGGCTGCAGTAATTGCCTTTTTTCCCCCCTCCCTCTCCATAAAAAAATCTCAATTATTCTGCAATTAAACTGTGCATAGGGGGTTTTGTCTTTTGTCTTTGATTCTTTGTATGAAGACTTGGGCAGTCTCTGCTAGGAACCGAATATATCCCAGTTTAAGAAGGGGCTGAGATGAGACTGATTTGTTTCCTCTGTTATTGTGTCCTTGCTCGGATCTTAATTGCCCTGGCAAGTTCACTTAGCTGAAATAATGAATTCTGGTGTGGATAAAGATTCATTTATGGCAACCTGCACACAGGATTGAGTGCATCACATAATATTATTTAATCAATTGTTTTTTGTTTGCTTTAATTTAGAGAAGCTGTGTACCTGCCTCTTCAATTCAAGACCACAAGAATAACTATGGAGATGCCAGGAAATGCCCAAGTTAGGGTTGCTCGGGTAGCTCACTTGCCCGCCACTTGGCCATTAGCCATGCCGGTGAGCCCTTCAGTTGTTTGTGTCAGAGGACAGCACCAGAGTGACCTGGGGCTGCCAGATTTCTTCTGTAGGTGTTTGCAATGTGCCGTGAAGGAGCACAACTGCTTCCAAGCGCCCGTGACTTGCCAGCTTCCTACAACTTGTGAATCCCTGAGCAATGGATTCGGCTATGCAGGTTTTTCTGAGGTAGTGCCTGTAACCGTGGGCAGCTCCGTGTGTTGGCAGCAGCCGCAGCCCCGAGGAGGGTTTTGGAGCAGGGTGTGTGACGCGCCGGGGGAGCCGCACGTTGCTCTGCCCGAGCCGAGCTCCGCTTCCTGCCCCCTTGGTGTCCATGCAGGGAAAGCTGCGGAGCCCACTGGGATAAAGGCAAGGGGGGAAGGGATGGACAGGCGAATTCCCCCTATCCATGAGCAAAATGGCTTTAGAACTCCCATATTTGCTGTCTGTAGGTTCTGTTGCTGCAATTGCTCTTCCCTGTGTGGCAATGAGAACTATATGCAATTACGTGGATGTCCGATTCCTAGTCAGCAAAGGGATTTTACACAACCATTCTCATCCTCTGGGCTTCTCCTCTGGCTGTTAGAAATCTCATGTTCCTCGTAGGAGACAATCTTGCCCAGTCAGGGAATGTGGTGAGTCTTAACTGGCCCTCAGCAGCTCTTGTTTCTATTACTTCATCCTGTTACACCACAAAATTCCTTTGGTAACAAAGGGATCTTCAGAAACCAGAAACAAGCTATTTTAAGGCAAGATCATAGCCTGGATGGAGTGGGGGGGATGTTCTGCTCAAGACTGGCTGATGTTAATGCTGCCTTCACACTAGCAACCATCAAAAGCAAACTGCTGTGCTGGTGGTTTTGTTGCCTTAGAGCAGTGAGCTAGTCCGAGATGTTGCAGAGGTCCAGCTCGTTCTGCTGAGTCTCCCGGTGATGGTGTCAGACACTCTGAGAACTTGTTTTGGTTCCTGCAGCTCTGCTTGCAGGAAGGTCAGCCTCAGTCACCAGACCAAGGGCTGGTCTGCGTGTGGGACCTGCGCTGCTGCCGCTGGGCTCTGCGTCTTCCAGGTGAAATGAGTGTTTTCCTTGGTGGATGCCCCAGGGTGTCTCAGCTCTGCAAGTTCAAGCTGTTCTTAATTGCTACCTTTTCTTCCTCTTCTTCCTTTTTATTCTGTTCTTGGCTTCAGTTAGCCCTCCACTTCCCTTCTTGTCTCCCCTTCTGCTCCCGCCTTGGTGCCAGTGTGTGGTTTGGGACCGTGGGAGGGGGTGGATGCAGCGGGGTGGGGGGCTAGGGGCTGACTTGGGCACTGCTCCCTGCTCTGCCTTGCCTGCCAGGAGAGCAAACCTGGCCACTGGTCCCTGTGTCATTGCTGAGCACAAATGCTGCCTGAAGAGGAGGGAAACTCTGGGAATGCTGAGGATTAAGGGTTTATGAATGTGATGCAGATGCAATAATCTGGGAGGAGGGGCAGTGCTGTAGCATGGCACCCAGCTGCTCTCAGCGGTGACGTCTGGGGCTGGCGGGTACCTGGGGGGCACGGGAGGCTGCTCTGCCCCTGAGCAAGGGGCTGAGCCCAGCAGGAGGCAGAGGGTGGAGGTGGCTCCCTGTCCTTGACTGTTCGCTGGGCTGTTCCCGTTCCTGGAAAGATGATGCACTCAGTTTAGCTTTATCCTCCATTTCTGATTCCCCCAGGCCATAGCACTGAATTATCTCATGTCGGGGATGTCCAAAAATAGACGCTCGGGGCAATGTTACTGTCTTTGGCATTTATTGCATGAAAACTTACAGACATGGCTTTTGTCATATTTTGAAGTCAATTACAAGCCAATTTTCTGCTGATTAAAAATATCCTCATGGCAGTTTTGCTCCTGCAGAGCAAAGCCTTTCAGCATGTGCAAACCAAATGTGGCACATCCTTTACCAATGGATGAGGCCAGCCCTGTGTTGGCCTTGTGTCATCTCTGACCCCTGTGGCACCTCTGCTTCATCATCTCCTTGCTCTGGGAGCCTCCTGTGGGATCGTCATGAGGAGGGAGGGACGTGAGCGCCTTGGCTTTCCCTGAGCAGGTCGGGGAGGTGTTGGCAGCGTGTTGGAGAATCAGCCACAGCTTCCGTGGTGGGAACGGGGCTGCCACCAAGCGTGTGTGATGGAGGGAGCTGCTGTGCTCAGGCTGTTGGGGAGAAAGGTCAGTGCATGTGAGGCTAAGTTGCCTCATGTCTGGGTGCGGATGAAGCAGAGCCTGGTTAATTCCTGCTCGGGAGGGGTCGGCCGGGGAGAAAAAGTGAGCAGAGCTGAGGTGAGGTCAGTGTCTGTGTGCTGTTTACCTGGCAGGGCATCAGGATCCCTCACCTTGCTGGCCAGGCTGGACCCATGCGGCTCGTAGCAGCAGGGCGCTCTGCCCTTCTCTGTGGTGCCTCAGACGTGGCATCGAGGTACCTCAGGTTCCAGTAAACCTTTGGTCATCATTCAGACTGGTTCTTCTGCCGTGATGGATGGGTCTGCTCTCCCTGCTGCTCTTGTGGTGTCAAGAACCAGAGAGGCTGGTAATGGGCTGCATAAATAGGGTGGAAGTGATGACACCGTGTCAAATTGTCACTCACTGTCATTTGTCTTTCCCACACTTGAGTGCAAAGGGTGGATTTGCAGGATCAAGCCTCCCTCTGTTCCCCTACCAAGACCCTTCCATGGCTTGCAGTTATTTCCTTGCTTTGTATATCAGCTAGTACTATACTTCTCTATATGCTGTCCGTGTCATCCTGTCTGTCTAGGTCAGGGTATGACCCACACTCTTAAGCTGCTTTGTGTCAAGGCATCAGTGAGGTGTATAGGAGTTGAAAAAGTCTAAAGAATTAGGGAATAAGCAGGAAAATCTGAGTGGTGTTACATAACTAAGAATCCCTAGTTCTGGAAAGGATCAGGTTGGGTGTCTTTAAGGTAAAGATTGTTTTGGGCAAGAGAATGGGATACAGGAGACAAGCTGATTTCTAACCTATTTGACCTCCCTGTTTCTAGAGAGTTTAAAGCTGGGTGCCTACAACATATAGAATCAACAAAGACCTTGATGCCTATATAGGCACCTGAATAGGCACCTGCCTTTAGTGCAGTCTGGTCTGTCTGGGCCCAGCTTCCTCCCTTCCTTCCACCTTTTGTCTGCACAGCTTGGAGGGGGGCTGCACAAAGGCAGGGCTGGCTGCTGTGCTCTAGCTGTACATGACTCAAAGCCCCATTGTGATGGGTGCTATTGTAGCCTAAGGGGAGCTGGGTGCTCCAGCTGGGCTGCCAGCTACTGCCCTGCAGAGGAACTGCTGCTGGTCTGGACTGGGGGGAAGAGCAGGGGGGTCCCATGGGCTGCACTTTAGCTCAGTGTGAGGCTGTAGCTGCTGGTCACTGGATGGTTCACAAAAAAACCCACTCATGGTGATCCACACGCATGTACCCGCGCTGTTTGCCAAGTTATCTAGAGCTCTTTAGCGTGCTTCCAAGGAACAGATTTTGTTTTCCGGAGAAAAAAGCCTCGCAACCCTTTATTTCCTCCTTTTACTCCATGGTAGTTAGCAACGGAAAAAGCATCAGCAAAGGAAGCTCTGTTGCTGGGTTGGTTGCACAGAAAGCCCTTAGGCAGGGAGCAGGGACAGGGTGGAACGTGGCACCGTGGCTAAAAGAGGCTTTGCTGCTTCAAAGCCTGAAAAACTGCTTTATATGGGGTCCAAATGCAGTGACATAATATGGAATATGAAGTAGGAAGGAGCTGTCAGTGTGAGAACCTGTGAGAAGCTCTGGCTGGTTTATGGAATGCTCCCTGAAATTATAGGGCACCATCTAAAGTAACTAAGCTGGACATGAGTCTCTGTAAGTATCATCAGCTTTGCCATGATGAGCGGTCATATAACATCTAAACCAATAGTCTAGCCAGTCTGTCTCTCTCTCACTTCAAGTATGATCTTTTTTTTCTTTTGCTTTCTTTTTTTTTTTTTTTTTTTTTTCCTTCTCTCCTCTGGGCTTCCCAGAGGATTGGGAAGTGCTGAGTGCTGGTTAAGGCTGCATTAACTGACTGTTATTTCTGCTTTCACTTGCACAGATGAAATCATGCAGCAGGAGATACGACCGCTGGTTGCAGTGGATATAATAGAGCAACTCCACAGGCAATTTGCCATCTTATCAGGTAAGAAGCTGCTAGTAACAGCAGTCCGATTCTCCTGGAAATGTGCTGGAATCTGTCATGCTGACTGTCACCCTTCAGCTCTGCACAGCAGTTGCAGCAGCAGTTTTATATTGCTAGTGAGAAGAGCTATTTCAATCAAGCCTTCATAAGGCATAGAACTGATAAATCTTACTTTTCTGTGCTTGCTTTTCTTCAGGAAAAAAAATCTGTGCTTTCTCTATACACCTAAAGGTGTTTAGAGGGCAAAAAACTTGAGCTTTTTTTATTATGTATCTTTGCATAATGTCTAAGCATCTTGTTTGTGGGAGAAGCTTTTGGCCCATCAACTATTCATGGCTTTCTCCCCCTTTCTCAAGTGCCTTTGTTTTGCAAGCAGTTCACTTCTAAAGTGCAAAGTGTCAGGTTTGCAATCACACAAAATGGTACTATTTCTGTTGTGAAGAAGTAGCAGATATTGAAATATTTGCTAAATTACTTAAAACACTCATTTTGCCTGATGGGAAGAAGTGTTCTTACCTAGGTCTTAGAATGGCCTCTTCTGTTTCTGTCTCTAGTTTTTAAAAGAAACAACAGATTCACTCTCCTTATCTGTAGATGACTAAGTGCAAAACACTTAGTTGACCATGTGTATGGCATTTTGTCCTCAAACAAAATATATTTGCTGTGAGTATATTCAATACTAAATGAAGCATCTTCGAGGGACCGAAGGATGCCTGTTTCTCTGCAGAGTTGCTCTAGCTCTGCCCATGGGCACTGGCCTGTATAGGGTACCTGCTATTGAACTCTCTTGCCATGGTTTGATGTTCATACACTGATGCTGTGCAAAATAGGGAGCGGAAGAAGTAACAGGCCCATCTGCCAAAGCATGGAGTACTTCAAGAGGTGTTGTGGAGCTCAGCCTTCATACCCTGCTAGGCCAGATTGCCTTAAATTGAAGGATTTGAGAACTGTCCTCAGGTGTGGTGCTCTCCATGTCTGGGGCAGCAGGACAATTGCTGTGATCCCCGGCAGTGATATTTGTGAAGCTTTTTAGGGAGCATCCCATGGCAGTTTCCTAAATGTGATGATTAACCAACTGTTCTGCATTCAGCAAGGAGTATTGGCTTGAGGGGAGGTGGAACGAGCTGCTTTGTATGCAGTGAAGCATTTCAGGGGTTGCACTGCCTGGAATTCCCAATATAAATACACCTACATGCAGAAAAGTGTCAGAAATGGTGTGCAAATTTGTTCAGAGCTCTTGCATCACACCATTGTTTGCTGGACAAATGCACTTGTCAGCCTTGGTGTTAACTCCAGTCAGATCATGACTGGGCTGCTTTTCCACTCATTTTGTAAGCAAAGAAAATGCTTAACAGCCGCTCTCTCCAGAATGCTCTGCTTGCTTTTCTGCTTTCCAGGCATGCAAAGCTGGTGGAAAATAACATTGTTTTCAAGGCCTTTGATTTAACTGATACACCAGTGCCTGAAAACATTTATATCAGTGTAAACAATACCGAACGTGTTGAATTCAGTGTTGTGTGTCGTGTCTGTCTGGTAAAATGTGGAGGAGTGCTTTCCTTAAATCCCTTTACCTTGCAGCATTTGAGACAATAAAAGGTATATGTGAAGTGCAATCCACAACTGCTGGGAAGTGTTTTACTAAACAGGAAGAAAACCTCATTTCCCATTCCACAGAGCAATGTTTAATGTGGCATAGAAATGACAAGGACAGATTAAAAATATTTCAAGTATTTATAGGCTTGTTATTTCAGCAATGCCTGTATCCTCACCTGCTATTTGTCCAATTTCAAGATCTCATTATCCCTTTATCTCGTATCTTGGTGTGTCAGTGACTGGTGGCGAGATGCTACAGAAAGTGCAGGGAACAGGAGCCTTCCTTGCTGTCTCTCCACTGCCTCTTGCAAACTGAGGCTCAGCTGCCTACGTCAGAAATGGCCAGGCTTTTCTAAAAGCAGTTCTCTACATTACTTTCGTTCCATCTAGCATAGACCTGGGAGCAGTGTGGGGTTTTATTGTTGTTCTCTTCTTACTCCAATGAAAGCTGGTCTGAGAGCTCTCCTGCCTCATTTCACTTATTAAAGTAATTCACACAGATGACCTCATTTGATTTTTGGGCAGCTCCCTGCTTTTTCTTGCGGCCGGCTGCTTTTCATTTGGCGCAGGCAACCACAAATATTTTGGTGCTTCAGTGCTTGCCTACATGGAACCCAAAATTCTCCTGGTATTTAGCCTTTTTCCTGGTTCTCTGTGCTGTGGTATTTCAGCTCTGTAGTTGCCTGCCTGACAAAAACTCTGCCTTTTGGCTCCTTTGCAGTGGATAGAAGGGCTCCCTGCTCTTGCTTGTAGAGTGCTTTGGACTGATGGATCGTGTGTAATGTGCTCTTCTGCCCAAGGTTATAAAAATGGGCTGCACTGATTCATCCTAGCTGAGGTGGTTTGCTTCCCTTGGTGGGCTGCCTCGTCCCCACCTGCCTGCTTGGGATCCAGCTCCGTGTGTGTTAGCGGTGGCTGCCTGGCTTGTGCTACTCACATCTCTCACCTCTCTGAGCTCTCCTGTTTGGTCCTGAGGACACCAGGTCCTCTTGTTCTCTGCTAATGGCAGTGACTCATTGACTCTTGTGGCTGGGAGTATTTGGTTGACTTCAGCTTTTTCTTAATACCTGTCAGCAGATGCAGCTGCCTGGACAGGGAAGCAGAAGGGATGAGCAGAACAAGCCAGGGCTGTTTGCTCTGCATGTGACTCGTTGCAGGGTGCAGCTGGTCCCTTCATCATTAGAAGCACTTTCCTGTGCTTTTGCAGTGTGCACACTTGGCAGAAAGGAGCAGACTGTCTTACAGTCCCTGGGCAGATGGCAGAAGTTATTATTTAGCCAGTTAATGAGACTGACTGCAAGGGACTGGCTGTAATGAATATATTAGGTACTGCCAGCCTGTCTTTGTCCTGGTCCTGTAGCTACCAGAAGCACCAAGGCCGTACAGCCCATGCAAGAGCAGAGAGATTCCAAAATTTTCCTTGGAGAGCTGTGGTTGTGGAAAAGGCTGCTTGTAATGTGATATTGGGTCCTAATGCACACAACCCTACTCCGGTCCTCTTTTCCATGAGCTGACCCGTCTCTGCTTAGCTCGTGAGATCTGCTGGAAGCAGTGGTTAGATTCTAGTCCTGAAACTGCTACTGCCTCTCACTTTCCATGGAAACAACACTTCCAATTATGGTTTTACAGCTGTGACAACATAAGTGCTTTGTGCACATACCCTGCTATGTTTGACCATGTGTTTCCTGTAGTTAAGGGTAGTTGTTAAGGTTTAAAATGGGGTAGTACTGAAATGCTGACTACTCTGACATACACCAATACTTCTCAAAGAATGGAGATCTATTAGAAAAATGCTGGTTCTGTCCTGCTGACAGACTAAACCTGCTGTACAGTCTGTGTTTAGAAGTACTACTGCCCATTCCTCTTTACCTGCAGTTTCATGCTGATCTTACCTGCAATTACTCTGTCAAAGAGCCCTATTTGCCAGTTGCAGCAATGATGGTTCCTGTTACTAAACCATGAATTTGAGATAAATTGTCATGTAGTAGCAGAGATTCCTTTCTTTTATGTTCCTGTTAATGGACTTCACTGAATGGAAGACTATATCTTAAAATGGCAACTGATTCCCAAGCCAGTTTAATTTCTAAAGCCTGGAGGGTATTTGACCATCTGCTTCCAGTTCAATTGTGCATTTTGGAAGTCCTGGCCTGACCCTGCCAAAAAGGCAGCTTGGAGCTTGTATAGGGATTTATACCTAGGAAGCCTGATTTAATTCCCAGGAGAAATTTCAGCATTTGCAACCCTTAACTCACACGGAGGGGAAGTAGGAAAGGAGGGGAACCCTGGAAGCCAAAGCTAATTCTGAACATGGCACAAGCAAAACCTGAGGCAGGGAAACTTCTGCCAAGACACGACTGAAGCTGCTGGCTGTGTGACCCAGCACACGAGCTGTGCTCAGCTCAGCTGTGATTCAGGCAGCGCTCTGCATGTGGGCAGACATGAGCAATTTGCTTCCCTGTGACAGCAAAATCTGAAAGAAAACTTTCCCAGTGCTAATGGATCAACTGGTGCCTGGGGAAGGTCTAGACAAACTTTTGCGACTACTCCTCCCAAATGGCCTGGTTTTCTAAGGGATTTGATATATTAAGTAAAAGCTGGTGAGCTGTTACTTAGAGAAAAGAAATAGCTAATAGTGTTAGTAGAAAAAGCTGCTGGCTATTGAATAAGACTTAAATGTAGCCCCTGAGTGCCTAAATCAGGGTATGTTTAGTCCCTAGACACACAAGGCATGGGCAGCCCAGAACTGGGGAGTGGGGACCTATGACCAGAGTCGTGTCCAGGTATTTGGCTCACAGCTGTGGTTTCTTGCTTGCTTTGACAGTCATAGCAAGATGGGACTTCAGCAAGGTGAGCTCACACCTTTCATACTATAATGCAAAACTAAACTTTCCCTATCTCCTTTCCAAATCCTGTTGTCCCTATACCTATTCCCCTGCACTATTTCAGCTGCTTTGCTGCCCCAGCTGAGTTCTGGCCCCATCTTCCCTGTTTAAAATGGGTAGCCAGGCACCTGGTAAGTCTATCACTGTATCCTATGACACATGAGCTTATTTTAAGAACTTGGGAAGTATGTACTAGGAGCAACTGTAAATGCTGCATTATACCCTTGGACACTAAGGGATCAGCACATGTTGGTGTGAGCAATGGTCCTGTTACTGTGCCCTGCACTCCCCTTGTGCACCTTGCATGCCCTATCCTTGCTTTCCCTTACACCACGTACTTTTCTCCTGTCACTCAGGGTTTTCCTGTTCCTTTGGCGTGTAAGAGGAAAGGTTGAGCAAGAAGCTGAAGTGGAAATTAAAGAAAGTGCCTGGGATGAGATGGGAGCTGTGATTCCATGGGGAAACCAGACAGGAGCTCGAGTTGTAGCCTCTTCTACTCAAGTCTTGCTTTTCCCTAGACAGAGCAACCAACTGCTCCCACTAATGACTTCTTTCTTTTCTTTGCTCCCCTGGTTACTGAGTTTTCTCTGTTTTTGTCAACACACAAGGTTTAGCTGTTTGACAACTTTCTGCACATCAAAATCCGTGGTCATTGTGCCCCTCTGTGCACACATTCCCACCGCTGTGCGTTGGGAATAGGGCTCTGCATGGACCTTGGTCAGTGTATGCGTGTGGGGGCAGAAAGGAGCTGAGCTCCTGAGGGAAAGCAGCGGGGGTGATGGGAGCAGCGTGCGGTGCCTGGGGGAGCTGCCTGCAGAAGCTCAGGTTCCTGTCAGGAGATGGAGGGCAAAATTAAGCCGAGCTTTCTCCATGGGCAAAACTGGGGCTAGCTGACAGGGTTACTGCTGTCTGGCAGTGCAAGACCCCTGGGAAGCTGTTGGAGGCTCCCTAAGGACAGGGGCCAGGAACCTGCCCAGAGTTCAGCCAGAGGCCTCTGCTGCTGCCACCAGCTGAACCTCCAGCTGCAGCAAGGGCCGCTGCCTCTTCCCTGTGCAGGCTCCAGCATTTGGAGCTGCCGGAAGGCTCTGGAAGAGGCTGGCTCTCTGGAAGAGCGCTGCAGGGTGGCATCTAATGGGAGCTGGAGGAGCTGCAAGTCGCCAAGATGGATGCCCATGCCTCACGGGAGGGCAGGCGTGAGGCTGCATCCTCAAGATCTGTTATCGCTGTATCTTTGTCCCTGCCTCTGACTGCCCTGAACTCGAGTGATTTCCCACTTGTCCCGCGGGGCACTCCGCCTCAGCTCCCGCCTCCAGCTGCCCTGGCCTGCTCTCAAGCTCCATTGCTCCAGGCAGCCCCTTATCTTGCTGAATAGACCAGACGTGCCCCAGCTGGCCCTAACCCAACCCTCTGCCCAGCTTTGTGCTCTGCTCAGCACTTCGTTTCCTTCTCTCTCACTCTCTCCCCCTGCTGATGTCACTTAAAATCTCCCTTTTTAAAATTTTTTTAAGAGAATACTCTTTCTTTTGCCCTTCAGTGGACGTGCTGGACTTTCTGTTGCCCTCTGATTTGTTTATCATAGATTATATTTTTTTTTTCTGATTGGCAATATGAATCTTTTCATGAGTGCTGCCCAAGAGCTAAGCACTGTCCCAGCAAAATCTTATAGAGAACCTGGGCCAGATCCAGTGCACTGAGTCCTTACGACTGGAGAACTAACTGAAGATTATTCACGCTGGATTTTAATCCCTGCCATGCCAGGGCATTCAGGAGCTAATTAAATCATCCTCTAGCATTGGAAGAAATCTTTGTGACTGTCTAGAAAGCAAGGATGGTGGCCCTGAAAGAAAGGGCTGCAGCCTCTCAGCTTGGATTCTGCAGAAATTTGCATAGAGCGCTGAACACTGCAAATGCTGTGGCAAATCTTGGTGTAATATTAGGAAAAAAGCTGCCATTAACAGTTGGAGAGATGCAGAGCTCCTTTGTCAGAGTGAGCTTCAGCCTCTTTCTGTGTGCCAGGAGCTTCCTTCTGCTGTTGTTGCTTTACTAAATAGATGAATATAATATTGTTTTCCCTTGCAACCTGAACCTCCAAGTCCAGGCATGGGCAAGCTTCATTGGACTTGGGGAAGAGAGGCCAGAAGAAGAGGATGCACTTATACAAACGTGGATGTTAGAGAATGGGAAGATAAAAGGGATGCGCAAAGGCCCTGGCAGCAGGAGCATGCAAAGTGCTCTTGGAAACTCATTGTTTGCAAAGGATCTTGACTGTACCACAGGTGGACTACCAGGTGCTTGGAGGAGAGGATCTTGGGGATCTTTATCTTGTCATTCATGGCTGTATGTTGCTGCTTTAAATAAGAATATTCCTACTTACTATTTTTCTGCCTCTTGAAGAGTTGGTGCCATTGTGGGAGTACCTGAAATATGAGGATGAAGGAAGACAACACTTAGGAACTGCGTGAATGTATCATATATGATATCATGTCACATATGACATGTGCAAAGATATCATGTGAGAGACCTTGGTGCATTCAGTTTTCACAACAAGAAGACCAGACGAGCTGTTTAATTTTCTGGGCTATTACTTGTCGTGTCCAGAAGATGTCACTAAGCATCTACAACCAACCATCCTAACTGGGACGCTGCTGGATGGAGGTCCTGGCCGGCACATTGTGGGGAACAGCCTGGGCTGGGGGAAAGTCTGACTGGTTTGTGTGAGAGCATGTTCTGGGTCACCACTCATGGCCATGTAGCCCAAGCACCCTGGCTCAGTGTGGAGGCTGTGGCCACCATTTGAAATCTGTGACTGGTGATGCTCCTTCCTCGCATTTTAGCATTTTGAGTCTCTGTTAGGCTAATTTTCCCCCCAGCAGGATTATCTCTTGGATGGTCTGACACAAGGGGTCATTTTTAGGTGTAATTAAAGCAAACTTACACCTTTGGAAAAGAGAAGAGAGAGAGAAAATGTCAGGGAAAAAGTCCTGACAAAGCCACCATATCACTGACATGAAGGAGGAAAAGTTGTTTTTATGCAGAATTCCAGGGACATTTCATTGGCTGAAGAAAGCTGTTTTAATAATAAAACAAGAAGCGTGTTTGGCTGAATGACAACAACAAAATTGCCTCACTTAGTTGATTAGGCATGGGGTCCCTTACTGATAAAAAGCCTTCAAGTGTTGTGGAAACCAACGGCCTTTATCTCATGGAAGTGAAGGGCCTAAGGTAATGCTTCATCAGTATTATGCACAAGGTTTCTGGAAAAGCTGGGAATACACAACAGAGGCTGCATTCTCACTTGGAGTATATTGGCATGGTGAATCTGGAGTGAGTTCTAAAATCAACTGGGCAGCTGATCATAGAGTTTCTTTATTGCATACATAGTGAATCTGAAAGCTTCTTAATAAGTGTGTCAGTGTTTCGCATTATGTGGCTTACTGGCCAGTCTGACCCAAGGCATAAAAATCACCCTTTAATCTCTTGACCTTTCTTTTTTTTCAGGAGGAAGGGGGAAGGATGGGGCGCCCATTATAACCTTCCCAGAATGTGCAGGATTCAGCGACATACCCGATGAGGATTTTCTGAATGTGGTCACATATCTAACCAGCATTCCCAGGTAAGGCTGATTCCAAAACCCTTCTAATTTCCATGAGCTTTCCTTCCCATCTTGCTACTTCTAGTGGTGCTATCAGGAGATACCAATGTCTCTCTATCCACCTAGTCAGTATGAAACTTCCCTGTGGGCACGAGGCTCTAGGAGCCATTTACATCTTCTCCATGGAAAACAAAGCCTCACACACGACAAGCTTTGGGTTCAGCACTTGGACTGAGTGGGAGAGGAGTGTAGTTTTGAAGAGCAGCAGTAATGGTAGCAGAGCAAATAAGTGGGACGTTTGTGACCATATCTTGGGGCACTATGTCAGTTCTGGGCACCCCAGTATAGGAGGGACGTGGAGCTTCTGGAGAGGGTCCAGAGAAGGGCAACCAGGATGATTAAGGGAATGGGACATCTCTCATATGAAGAGAGGCTGAGTAAGCTGGGCCTGTTTTATCTGGAGAAGAGATGGCTCAGAGGGGATATGATTAATATGTGTAAGTTCAGGAAGGGAGAATGCAGGGAGGAAGGGGACAAGCTGTTCTCACTGGTGGCCAGCGACAGGACGAGGGGTAATGGCCACAAGCTGAAGCATAAGAAGTTCTGTCTCCAGGTGAGGAGCAACTTCTTTACTGTTAGGGTGACAGAGCAGTGGAACAGGCTGCCCAGGGAGGTTGTGAAGTCTCCTACTCTGGAGGTCTTCAAAACCCGCCTGGATGCCACCCTGTGCCACATGCTCTAGGTGTGCCTGCTTGAGCAGGAAGGTTGGACTAGATGATCTGTAGAGGTCCCTTCCAACCTTAAATATTCTGTGAATCTGTGAAGCGTCGCAGCTGGAAGGAACTGCACTTAATAGTCACTATTGCTGTTTATTCTCTGAGCATGTCTCCTTCGCTAAGGAGAGATAAGAGTCTATGTTGAAACAAAAAGGCACTTTAGAAAGGCAGAGTAATAGAATATAAATTGTTTTCATGTCTTTATCCCTCTGAAGAAGGAGAGAGCTCTTATATTTCCCAAGGAATATTCCAAGCTTTCACCAAACTTCTCAGAGAAGTTGTCCAAGCTCTCACTCTGAGGCAGCAAAAATGATCCATGCACTCTGGAACTGCAGAAGAGTTTGCCGTGGCCCTTTTAAAGTCAGTAGTGCTATGGAAATACACGCCAGCTGTCCTGGTTTCAAGGTTATCTAAAAATGGTTGCTTGAGCTATGGAACATTATGAAACACCACCAGCTGCTTGTATATTATCAGGAAAGCTAAAGCTTACTTTGAACAGGGTTTATTCTGTAAACTGAATATTGTCTTGGCCTCTCTGTTTCTAAGGCCAGTAAAAGTCAATAGAAAGACTTCTGTTTGGCTTCCGTCCGTGATAGCTGAACTTTGTCTCCTGGTCACCATCCCTAAATGAGCATTTTGCAAATTGCAGCTCAGTACTTTGCTGAGTACTTGAGTACTCAGCATGTACTTGCTGAATGCTTGAGTACTTTTCCTCAACCTTCTCCTAGAGCTCTAAGCAGCAGCCTGGTAAAGAAGATACTAAATAAAGCCTTAGTTTCTAAGCTTTGTCTGTTGCTACATTGCAGAAAAGGTGAATTTCTTAGATGTTTGGAGATAAAGGAAGAAGCAACACTGTAAAGGGCTGATGTAGTTAATTAGGTCATGGGACTTGCAGGATTATGGACTGCATGCACTAGAAACTAGCCTTTGGATTGCACTGGAGGGAACTGCTACACTACGATTATTTCTGTGCTGTTTGTAAGAAGGTTCTAATTGCTTCACTGTAGTAGGAAGCATGCACTTGGAAGAAGCAAGTCTCTAGATCTTAGCTCACCTTGCTTGTGTGTGTGAGGATGGATGGTGGTCCATATGACAAATGTTGGACACCATCAGTGTCAGTGTTGGCTGTGAGGTTTCATTAATGTCACAAGCCATGTAGTTATTTAAATCTCTTGTCACAACGGATAAACGAAAGATCACAGAGGTGTTGCTCTCCTGAAGCAATTCTCAGCAAGTCAGTGGAATAGCGAAGCACGTGCCACCGTGACTGTCCTTGCAAGCCTCACGTGCTTTTTGATGCTTTGTTCACTGGGCGATTGCTCCACAGCTAGGATGGTTTTTTCCTTGCTGTTTGCCCACTCCTCTGCTATGGGAGTGACACACACTTCCACTGCTCTGAGGAAATGCACCCAGGCTGAAGAGCTGCTGAATTACTTGTTGTTTATCCAAAGAGAGAGTTGAATAATTTCTGCAGCCTCTTGATCCTGTCTCTGGACCTATTTGTGTTAGCTAGAAGCACAGCAGGGATTTATTATTTCCTGTGGTCTTGTGTGTAAAGGTGCCTAGAGGATGAGGAGGGGAAAACGTGCCTCCTTCAAGTTTGAGTAAGAGGTTTTCCAGCTCCACCTACATGTATTCCCCATCCGGAGCTGCCAAAACAAGCTGAGAGGAACCACACACTGTGAGCTTAACAGCTTCATTGTTCCACTCTGCTCTGTAGGACTTTTGTTCTGCAGGGTGATATTCCTTCTTCTGTATTTCTTCAGTAACTTCTGGCCTGGGAGGATGACTAGCTTCAGGGTTAATAAAACAGCAATAGTAGCTGAGAAAAACACAGCGCTACTTTGTCAGTTCTTTATACTTGGGATCTCGGTGGGTGATCTTTGGTAATGTTAGCACGTGTTGGAGAACCAACATGTTACACTGTCAGTGTGATGAATGGAAGTGCAAAAGAAACTGAAATTTAAAAATTCATGGAAAATAGATCCATCAGTGGCAGCTGAACACAATGGTCGAGATGCAAGCTCTGGCTGAAGAAGTCCATGTATTGTTTAACACTAGGGCTTGGGAAAACAAACTTAAGGGCAAGATTGCCCTTCATCCTTTGCCTCTGCTCTTGCACCTACTCTTGCCTTGCTCTTTACCTACCTTTGCTTTTATTCAGTGTGTCAGTTGTGTGTTTGCTCTTCCCCTGAGGCATCCCAGGGTGATGCTCAAAGAACGGTGAGTTAAGTCTCAGAACTTTGGAGGTTGAGAGCGCTACAGTATATCTATTTTATAGATCATGGTGTGTGTGTCAGTAATATTTTACACTAAAATATATATTGAATATATATTGAATATATATTGAATATATATTGAATATATATTGAATATATATTGAATATATATTGAATATATATTGAATATAT